TATAGTGTTTATATAGTACACAATATAGTATATCATTTGATAATAACTAAATATATTTATTTCCCAAAAACTATTCCATCAGACCTTTCCTTACTTTCTTTTTTCTTCTTCATGATAGATGGGCCATCATGGCATATGTCATCTGTGATGTTAATATCCTTAATTTACTCAACCTTATTTGAAGGATTGCATGACACATAAATCATAATGGACAACAATGATGGACTGGGTTCACAAGACAACTAGACTTAATTCAGGGAGACAAAGCTGAACACAGGTTGACACTTCTGTTTTTGGCATAGGTTGCATGGCCAAATAATTGGCCATACTATTTCTAGGAATACTACTGCAGAAGTCTCTGGAAATTTACAATTTGGAAAGTTTTCTCAACAGGATTTAAGAATTCCATGCAGCCCTCCTTCTAGAAACCCTTCAATTCCCCCCTTCCTGGGAGTTATTAGCAAGCCCCAGTAGAGTAGAGTTAAAATAGATAGCATAATATAGTATGGGAAATTGCCAAGCATCAGAACTAATTTTTAAAAATGTTTAAAAAACCCATGTCTGCTGTCTGGTAAGGAGGCCAAACTGGAGCAGCAAATATGCGTAAATAGTAATAGAGGATTGTGACCATGAAGCTACGAAATGCTATTTCCCTTTTAAGGCTGATTTCTTTCATAATTACTTTTCCGTTTTGATTCCAGAGAAGCTCCTTAATTTAGACCAGGAGTCTCCACATTTCATAACTTTAAGACTTGGGGACTTCAACTCCCAGAATTCCCCAGCCAGCATTGGTGGCTGAGAAATTCTAGGAGTTGAAGTCCACAAGTCTTAAAGTTGCCAAGTTTGGAGACCCTTGATTTTAGACAGTCCAGCTAAATATAGGGGTTAAGAGAAAGATTTCACAGCTGTAACCTAAACATAAGCTAGAGTGGTAAAACCATGACCTGCAAAAAAAATCAGAATACTAGATGGCAGAAAAATGATACAGAAGCCTCTAAACTTTTATCTGGAGCCTTATAATTTGATAGCCTTATAAAAGCACCTCAAAAATTAGGCAACAAACAAATTAGGCACATTCACTGTCTGCTACCATGAAATGTAGTGCTAGCAACCACTTTGGCTGGCTCCAATTCATGGAGGTGGTATTACTCCCTCTGAAGGCCATCTGCTGGAAGACTTGGTAGATTTCTCTATGCAGATGGTTGCTTACAGTGAGACAGACGTCTGGACTAGATAGGCACCTCCCCAGCGGGGCACTGCTTATCTTCTGTTTTTACAAATTTTATAGCTTTCAAGCAGCCACTGCTTCAGCCAAGACTCAGAACTTAATTTCAGAGTTAGCTTGGTCAATATCAGGAATCATCATTAAAATGTTTACTACAATGATCTTCAAGATCTAAAACCCATTTCTTGATTGCACCCCGCTGATCTTGGCTGATTTTGAAAAGCTCAACAAAGTCAAACAAATTCACTGTCTGCTACCATGAAATGTAATCCTGCTACCATGAAATGCAATCACTTTGGCTAGCATCAAAAAAGGGTTGGGCCAATTCATGGAGGTGGCATTACTCCCTCTGAAGGCCATCTGCTGGAAGACCTAGTATGCAGATGGCTGCCTACGGTGAGACAGACGTCTGGACTAGATAGGCACCTCTCCAGACCTCAGGGCTACGATGCAAATCGATGCAAATAGAAGACCAACAAGAAAATCCAAACTTATAGCCAAGACTAGGAAATCATTAAATATATATATATATATCCAGAAGCAGTAATAGGAAACATTTCTGCTAAGAATTGTATAAGGGTCTAATGTCTTTGAAGTCATAGGAACCAGATTTGACTGGAAGGAATCCTTAGTGTTTATTTATCTGGAGGAAAAATAGCCCGGTAACTTCCCAGCATTTTGCAAATGTTTGGCCTGGATGAAAGACAGGATATATTCAGATGGTCAGCTGGATAGCCAGCTAGATGACTTGGAGCCAGTCACTCTCTCTCAGCCCAACCCACCTCACAGCATTGCTGTTGTGGGAAAAAATTTGCTGTCTTGAGTCATATGTCTAAATAATAAAGACAATACAAATAAATAAAACAAAAATGAGCAGGTGATTTGGGTAGCCAAAGATATTGTTTGACCAGAAAGCCTCTGTACCTACTTCAATGCATTGTGAGAAAAATTAACCAAGTGTTCCATACTTGGATGTGTCAGGAGTATAATTTACACTGAGGTGCAGCCCAGCCACATTCAGGAGAGTCTATGGAGCTTGTGGGTGCTTGATTTGGGATGGCCCTGAAGTTAATTGTGCAAAGCAATATCTTGGGTAAGAAAGGTTTAGTTGATCCATGGCAAGGGTCTTCAAACTTGGGCAAGTTTAAGACTTGTGGACTTCAACTCTCAGAATTCCTGAGCTAACATGACTGGAGGAGGAATTCTGGGAGTGGAAGTCCACAAGTCTTAAAACGGTCAAGTTTGAAGACCCCTGATCTATGGATTGACTGAAATGAGACTTTTCCTGTGCCGAGAACGATCATTTTTATTTTCTTTCATTATTGTTTCTTTCGGCAGGCAAAGTGTCCTGATCAGAAAAATAGTTATATTCTATGCTTCATCGTAAATGTTGCATTATATTAATTTTAAATTGAAACAACTTAGAATATGTACTGCCTTCAGCATTTTCTGCTTCTGGATGGGATCTGCCCTTCTCTGTCTTCCCTCCAAGATGGAGTAGGCAGATCTGGAATTGTGAACACGAAGCCTAAGCCTTAATAATTTTGAATCTCATTCTGAGGCCCTCTCAAAGTACAAGTGGTGGGCTTATTAGGGGCTCTGCTCATGCAAAGGTGCCCCATTGATGCAACTGCCCAAAAAATGGAGGAGAGGCTTCTTCTCTTATCTGCTCATAGCAGCAGCCTGAAACACAGCTCCTCCTGGGCAGTGGCTTCGGGTGGGGCCATTGAGCCATTGATAAGCAGGTGGGGCCTGGAAGTATCTTTCTTACTGCTTGGAGGCCCAAGAAGGAATGGATGTCACCAGCCAGGTTTAGACCTATTTGCCTAACTAAGAATAAAAATAAAAGCCATAATTGATTGGTCTCACTCAGCACAATAACCCTAGCCCATAGTTTATAAGTCAAATAAGATGTTAAGCCATGGAAACATGTCAAACACATCATAACTAACTATGGTTTAATTGACTAAACTGCAACTGGCTGGATTGACCAATGCCTGCCTGCTGAAATCACTTTAATCCTGTTCCTGATGAGCAATATTGCTTTGCCCTTTTCTGTTTGGTAGGCACAATCTCTAAGTAGTTGATAGAAAGGCAAAAAATGGCCAGCATATCAAAATAATCCCAAAATTTTCTTGTGCCCTATTAGTTTGCAGATTATCTGAAGGGATATTAAGAAAGGGGCCAAGGGATTCCAGAGGAATATCTACTCAAGAAAAGTTACCTCATAAATAACGTAATTTCTACAGTTGTTAACATTTCATTATTTTACAAAAAATCTTCCAATGCATGTTTTTTGCTCTTAATTCTTTCTGTTTCTCATTATTTGTTGTTCTCAGCTGAAACTGTTGTACATTCTGGAATTCATCCAGACTGTGGTTTTGCCTAAAAAAAACCCTACCCCTTAGGTATAGGTAGGACTATCAAACCTGGACTACAAAAATCTGGATGATACTAATTGGCAGTAAGAATGGAAAACAGTAGATCAATGTTTGAACCAATTACCCCTTTTCCCCAATCCCAAATAATGTTATTATTCCCCCACACACATACACAAAACACCACAGACTCTGTAAGCTTACACAAGTGGTTTAGCAGTAGCATCCAAAATGAATCCTTGATTCAGAAACAAACACAATTACAAATTATATCATTACTGCTAGGAGAGGCCCAAATTACCCCCCAGTTTAACTAAACTAGATGATAGCAAAATTTTCAATATCTCCGTGTCCACCATTTCATGATTATTTGGATTTTTGCAATCCAGAGTTATATGGAACAATTTAAGTAAAGACACTGATGGAGAATTTACAGTCCAAGATCTATCTTAGGTCACTTGCTTTACTGACATCAGCTGACCATAAAAGATGTCAGAAATATGCAACGTAAAATGTTCATTACTGTACTGGTTTTCTTAATATAGCTGTTACAAGATAATATAATTTAGCCTG